GACCTTGAGAGAGAAGAATAGTGGGAGACAGGTGTTACTAAGGAAAAATGGATAAAAATGGTGCATTTAAGTGGTAGGGGGGAGGAAAGGGTTATACAAGGAACTTTGGGGGATAAAGGGAAATAATGGTAATGTTTTTAAAAGAAAAACGCCAAATATATTGACTCATCTACTATAGGCATTCAAGTGGCACATGAGATAAAATATGGTGTGTAAAATTAATTCAGTGGTAAACTTAAAAATATACCTGTAATAAGTCTGGCATGGTGGCACAGACCTTTAATCCCAGCAGTCAGGAGGCAGAAGCAATCAGATTTCTATGAGTTCAAAGGCAAGCTGGTCTACAGGTTTACATAGCAAGTTCCAGGCCAACTTGGTCTACAGAGAGACCCTGTCTCATAAAGATGAAACAAATAAATAAAAATACAAAAAAAAAAAAACCAAAGCCTATAATCATTCCAAAACTCCTTACAGGAACAATAGAGGAAATAATGTAGAGTCACCCACTTTCCCAAAGCATGGCAGAAACAGAGAGATGGGTCAACTATTCAATGGGAAGAGTCATGTGGGACATTTACAGTGTCCTGTGTATTCCTTTTTTTTTCTGATCTTCTTGAGATGGTCTCTCTCTGTAGCCCCATCTGGACTGGATCCATCAGAGGAAATAATGTGGAGTCACCCACTTTCCCAAAGCATGCTGAATGGCTGCATGGCAGAAACAGAGAGATGGGTCAACTATTCAATGGGAAGAGTCATGTGGGACATTTACAGTGTCCTGTGTATTCCTTTTGGGTTTTTTTTTCTGGTCTTTTTGAGACAGGGTCTCTCTGTAGCCCCATCTGGCCTGGAAGCACCTACATAGGTAGATCAGGCTGTTCTCGATTTCACATAGATCTGCCTGCCTCTGGTTCGCTAGTGCTGGGAATAAAGGCATGCACCAACACAGCTGTCAATTTCTAGTCTTAACAATGACTCACAATGAATAACTGAAAAACCTTTAAAAACTCATTGGTTGGTAACATTAATATCAGTGTAATCAACTATATGGAAAATTTTCTAAGAAAATTACAACTGTTCAATTAAAAGAAAATCCTATGTCTTTACTGTTCCACTTGAGTGCCTGAAATGGTTGAATACATATGAACAAAAGTTTTTCTCCCCCTTCAGCAAACACTATTTCATTTACAGGGTGAATATGAGGAAAGAAGACAATTTTGAATGACATCTTTAGAACTCTCATTACTGAGTCACTGAGTGACAGGACTGATTGATTCAGCAAAATAAAGAAAGACAAGCAGGGCCTGCAGAGATGGTTCAGTGGCTCAGAGCACTGGCTGCTCTTACAGAGTACCCAGTTTTGGTTCCCAACACCCACGTGGTGGGTAAAAATTGTTCTTAAATACAGTTACAGTTCCAGTGGATTCAATACCCTCTTCTGACCTCCATGGACTGTGCAGGACAGAGGCTCACTTACATATATGCAAACAATACTCTCATACACTGTTCTAGTTTGTTTCTCCATTGCTGTGACAAAATACTCTGACCAATACCAATTTTGGGAGGAAAGGGTTTATTTAGCTAACATCTCCAAAGTCACAGCTCATCAGGGAGTCCAAGGTAGAAACTCAGGGCAGGAATCTGGAGGTAGGAGCTGGAGCATAGGCCATAGAGGAATGCTGCTTACTGGCTTGGCTTGGTCCCCTGGACCCTGCTCAAGGTGCTTTCATATACAATATAGGACCACCTGCCCAGGTATGTCGGCACCCAGAATGGGCTGGAACCTCCCACATCACTCATTAATCAAGAATATGCCCACAGACATGGTCACAGGCAAGTCCAAAGGAGGAAATTCCCCAATTGGTGATCCCTCAAGCCAGATATGTCAAGTTGACACTAAAGCTATCCAGCGCAACTGACTGCTTGTCACCCTGACACACAAATACATCACTATTAAACCACAACCTTTTGATTTCTTGTCCCAAAGATATGATGTTAACATTAATATCACAATATAAGACAGTACATACTTTAGGGTGTCAAGTCTCAGCTGCTCTCTGTGATTCCTTCACACTTTCAACACCAGAACCATGCAGAAGACTATGATACATTACCACATCCTGCTTCCAGCTTGAAATGGGGTCTCATACCCCCTCTGAATCATAGTCCCTGTGCTGACCCTGAGAAAATACTTTCCAGAAGATTTTGCCAAAGTGATGCTAGTCTCTTTAATTACAGCTGATTTCTCAGCCTCACCTAACTGGCATCAATTGTCCCCATAAAGCAAAGTTTTGACTTCAGTCTATTAATCACAGCTGATTCCTCAGATCCAGTTGAACAGAAACCAAATGTTCTCAATTCAAAAAAACACACAAACCACCCTTATAGTCTCTGCTTCCCTTTGAAGCTTCACAAGCCAGGCCATCATTTTTCACAACTCCTTCAGCATAACTCTTCCAAGCTCCACAGCAACAAACTCTAAGCACTCAATGACTTTTCCAGTCCAAAGTTCTGAATGCTTCTACAATCCTCCTAAAAACACCAAGGTCAGGACTGTCACAGCAATGCCCCACTCTCTGGTACGAAATTCGCTCTATTTTGTTCCTCAATTTCTGTGACAAAATACTTTGACGAATACCAAATTGGGGAGAAAAGGGTTTATTTTATCTGTTATTCTGGGTCAGAGTTCATCAGGGAGCCCAAGGTAAGAACTCAAGCAGGAACCTGGAGGTAGAGATGAGGCACAGGCCATGGAGGAACACTGCTTACTGTCTTGCTCCCCTGGCCCCTGCTCAGCCTGCACCCTTATACAACATAGGCCCATGTGCCCAGGGGTGGCACCACCTCCAATGGGTAGGACTCTCCCACATCACTCAATAATCAAGAAGATTGAACCACAAACAAGGCCACAGCCCTGTCCAACGGAAGAAATTCCCCAACTGAGAATCTCTCAACCCAGGCTGTCAACTGGACACTAAAGCTATACAGCACATACACATAACATTAAAAATAAATTAATTAATTTAAAAAAAATTAAGAGTTAGGAGAAAAGATTATGATTTCTCAAACAATAGTAAATAAAATCTTTTTCTACAGTCACAAACCCAGAGTAGCATATACCTGAGGAAAGGTTAGATTAGTTCAAAAATTTTCCCTCACTCTCATGTCACATTTCCAAATGTGAAAATAGTTCCTAGGTAAAGATAGTTCACACTTTGATTATAACTTATTTATTTTGTGAAATGTGCTACAGTTCACACTTAAGTTATAACTTATTTTGTGAAATGTGCTATGAATTTGTGATGTGCATCATAATGTCCGAAGAACAGACACACTGTATATGACTCATGCTCTGTAGTGAACACACAAACTCTTTCACATTATTAGCATTCTTTGATCAGAGCATATTACATCCATTCGCTTGTTATTTTCCAAGGACAAAGTATAGTGATAACTAAGGTAAACCCCCACCCCTTTTTTTTTAAACTTTTTGAGCCAGGGTCTCCCTGGAGCCCCAGTTGTCCTGTAACTCCCTAGGGAGACCAGGCTGGCTCACAAAGATCCACCTGCCTCTGCCTCCCAAGTACTGGGATTAAAGGTGCATACCACCATGCCTGGCAAATAAGATAATCTCTATCTTTTTAGCTTATTTCAAATTTTAAAATGAATTTTATCAATTTTATTTCATACTACCACACAGTCCATTGTGGATTATTTTCATCTGATCTACAATTAAGAAAAATTATTCAGCAGATTAACATTAAACTTCAACTTCATCTGTAGAGGTTTCAGTCCAGTATCCATGGAGCTCAGAGTCTAACAGACAATGGCAAGACTGAACCATGAGATGGAAGGCCATGACATAAGAAATCTCACCTCATGGCTGACATGAATTATCAGAATTTCTCATGAAACAGACTATGGCAAAACCATTTTCAGGACTTTATCCCTCTTTACTTAGGTCCCCTCACCTGGGCCCCTCCTTCATCCACAGTCTCCCATCTCTTCACATTCCAGGGCTCTTTGCTTTGCTCCAGACAGGAGACCAGAACAGGCTTACACACAGCAAGACCTGTGTATGAGAAAGAGGCACATGATGCTTGCTGGACTCTTTAGAAAGTACCAGATTTGTAACACTATGCTCCACTGATAATATTCAGAAAAATAACAGACTCTCCAAAGAATTTCACAATTTTTATTTTCTGACAGACTCATTAGAATACATAGGAATTATTTTAGTTTCCTTATGGTGAGTTCTATCACTGATTCACAACTGAGCTATGGCAATGGAAATGTAAGACTCTGGCTGCACAGTTTCCTGGCTAAAAGTCAAAATGTCCTTGGGCATGTTAGCAACATACTCTGTTCCAAAGGCCAAAAATATTTAGGAGCTTGTATCAAATCCTTAGAAGACTTTAGGGTTACCTCTTCAGAGGGGGGAGTATTGGAGGGGAGAGAGTGGGCATGGATTTGATCAAAACATGAAATTCTCAATAAAGTTTTTCTAAAAGTTAAAAATAAAATAATAAATAAATAAATAAATAAATAAATAAGATTCTGGCTACAGTATCATGTACTAATGGGTGGCCAAAATTAACACCACAAAAAGAGCAACTCTCCAAATAATTTTCCAATTTTTACTTTCTGACAGTTTCATTAGAATATTTAGGAATTTTTTTCAATTTTCATGTGGTGAGTTCTATCACTGACTCACAATTCAGCTATGGCAATGGAACTTTAAGACTCATATACTAATGTGTGGCTGAAATTAACATCAAAAATAATGAAAATGGATAATTACTCTAACAAGTAGAAATGGAAAGAACTATAAAACATATACATGTTCTTCACAATGCCCAGACATTCCCAGGAACTAATTTTTAAAGAATCCAAGACTTAATTAGCAAAACTAACATATGCACAAAGAAGACTGTAATCTGTCAAAGGATGCAGAATAGTAAAAAATTCTCCAAGAAAAATATCCTCACCTATAGACACCAGATTGCTGTAGTTCTCCAACATCAACTCCCTGTACAAAGCCCTCTGAGCAGAGTCTAGGCATTCCCACTCCTCCTGGGAGAACTCTATGGATACATCCTTGAATGTCAATGGATGCTAAAAGGAAAAATGAGAATTAGAACATGTGCACTGAAACAGGGTACTGGACCCAAGAAAGAAAGAAATAATTAGTAAACAACTTCTGAACTAGATGAGAAACCTGATTAATAAAAAGGATATTTCTTAATGGAGTAACTATCTGTCATCTACTCTCAAACTCTGTGCAAAAAGAATAGCATCAGACCCTCCAAATTTTTGTGAAGATTATGATGTTAAGGAGGACAGCACGTAAATTAAGCCTTCAACATACAAAAACCATTTCCCTACTATATTTGCAGCACACAGTATCAATTGTATATATTTATCTGATGTAAAGTTACACTGATTTATAAGTCTTTTTATGAAATCAATTTGGTGAGGGCCTATAACCATGCCTACCAACTCTGTGCAAAAAGAATAGCATCAGACCCTCCAAATTTTTGGGAAGCTTATGATGTTAAGAAGCATAGCACATAAATTAAGCCCTCAACATAGGAATATAATTTCCCTCCTATATTTCTAGCATACAAGATCAATTGTATATATTTCTCTGATGTAAGGTCACACTGATTTATAAGTCTGCTTCATAAATTTGAATGTTTATAACCGTGCATTGTAGTGTTAGCTAAAACACAGATTTTTCACCTTAACACAATCTGTGCTAGGCCTGACTTAACCCTTTCCTAACAAACTCTGCAGTGAAGCCAGTCCCCCAGGTACAAAAGACACTTTCTCCAACAGCACTGAGTAGAACATGGCAGAAGATAGAGAACTATGTGTGTCTCCCTCCACAGCAAGAAGACACAGTCCTCATAAAGTAAATAATATACCCTGCATGTAATGTAAAAATTAGAGAAACATCAGTGCATAATTACTCTAACAATACTTTTATAGTGATTTCTTCTTTTATCCTCATTTAACTGCCTAAAATTTACCTAAAAGGAACACACTGGCCGACTTATGCACACCACAATAAGGAGTTGGGAACTGGGCTCCTCACTGAAGAGTAATGAAAACACTGGATGAACAATGTTGATGCTGTGACACAAATGCTTCCAAAATCAGACAACTACATGTGTGTAACATTTGATTAAGGGAGCTCTTTTCTGAGGTTCAAAGAACCAGTAATGTAGGCAGTGCTGTTAACTGAGTGTGAAGTAGAAATACCAGCAGAGAAAAAGAGGCCTGCTTCAGAATCTCCACCTAGAGAACTCAGTATTTAGTAAACAAATGAGAAAAGTTTCTTTCTTCAAAGAAAGGAAGAAAACTACCAGTGATGCATGGAAAGATTCTACATTAAATGTCATATTTCGTGTGCTTCACTCTGTAAACTATCAGAAGAAAACTTATTCCTAACAAACTAAAAACAAAGATATTGGGGCTGGAGAGATGGCTCAGCAGTTAAGAGCACTGAGTGCTCTTTCAGAAGACCAGGGTTCAATTCCCAGCACCCACATCGCAGCTATGAAGCGTCCTTAACTCCAGTTCCAAGGGAATCCAAAGTTCTCTTCTGACCTCCATGGCATTGCACGACATGGGTGCACTCACATACATGTATGCAATACACTCGTACACATAAAATAAAATAAATAATAAAATATTTTTATTTTTTAAAATGATGTCAAAATCTGTGATTTTGTGCAGAGCAGCTCAACCATGGGAATGAACTCCCAGGAGACAAAAGAATACAGGTGTCAACGTACCCAGCAGCACATTCCATCAGGCCTGTGATGTTGGTCGGATTAAATGTTGAACAAAGTAATACAATATCTGCATAAAATAAAACAAAATATCAGTTGTATGTACAGTTCAAAGAACAATAAAGTGGCATATGAGGACCGAAGTCCATCCTCCTTAGAAACTGAAGACTGACATGTTGAATTTTTACCTATCATATCAGAAATATTTTTGAGATGGATGGTCTTGAATTCATTGGATTCATCTGGAAAACGTAAACACTGGAGGACAAAATGGAGAGGTGGATATGCTACATAGGTGATACATGTGAAATGTGGCCTGGGCATGGCGGTGCAGGCCTTTGCCCCAAGGACTCCTGAGGAAGAGGCATGAGGATCTCTGTGAGATCCAGGTTAGCCTGGTCTATATAGCTAGTTTCTGGATGAGAAAAGATTACAAGTTCAAACTCCCAAACAAAGAGAGAAAGTGTATGAGGTTCAGGCCCTTTGATGTGTTTACCTGAAAAGAAGCCATCTCTCTCTTCCTTTTGTGAGCTTCCTCTCCAGGAAAAACATAAACAGTCTTCTCTCTCTTTCAAGAAACTTCCTTTCAGTTCACTAAAAATTCACTTCACCTGCCAACATACCAAGAGGAAGAAGCACGACAGAAAACAAAACAGGCCACTATACTGTCTGCTGTCACAGTAGATGCGCAGGAAGAAAGCTCAACAAGGAGACTCCATAGAAGTTTCTGATTTTATGCCTTCAAGTGGCCTGACCTGCCAACAAGAACAAGAATCTCTACTACGTTCATGGGACTGTAACTATCTCACCTCCTAATTAAACAAGGCAAAGTAACACGGTTTTCATCCACTGGAATAGGGCCTAAACTAAACTTTCCTTCAGAGGCACTGGTAGCTGACCCCCATTCTCACTCTCTTCTGCCTGCAACAGTTCATTGAAACAGCGCTGATGCTTCCACTTAGCTTCATGGACAGAATCTGGGGGGCGGTGGGGGGGGGCAGTCATAAGTGAGAGTTTTTCTTTTAAAGGCTGAAGTTCAGGATTAGTTAACTGTGAGTTTTAAAAGTCTATGCTTGGGACTGAAGAGATGGCTCAGAGGCTAAGAATACCAGCTGCTCTTGTAGAGAACCTGGGTTCACTTTGCAGCACCCACCTGGTGTTAACAACTGTACTGAACACCTGCTCCAGGGATTCCCACTGTGTCTTCCAGCCTCCACAGACATTGCTGACATGGCTGCACTTACATACACACAAGCATAACACTCTTACACATGAAAAATAATAAATAATAAATAAATAAATAAAACTTAATAAAAATGAAATCATTATTGTTTGATGACACCATATTTTACGTATTTGTGACATTACCTTAATATTTTGTTATACATATACATTGGATAATGATCTAGTCAGTCATTAATATATCCACATGTAAAATTTTATCCTTTCCTATGGTGAGTGTATCCAAATGGATATTTTTCTAACAATTTTAATATATAAAATGCAACTTGGATTATTTTATTTACCTTGTTGTGGCATAGAATAGAACTTAGTTAAGCCATGAAGCCATGATGCTGCTTCTGTTATTTACCACACATCCTCCCCATTAACTGCAAACTGCTTCCTATTGTACTCTCGGCATCTATCATCTATCTTTTCTTTTTCTATTTCTCTTATGACAGATCATGTAGTGCTTGTGTTTCAACTTCTTTACCTGATACAGTGTCCACCAGATCAATCCTGTTCTCAAGTATGAGAATATTCCACTCTTTTCTATCATGGAATTATGGTATATTCTTTAGAAATATCATATTTCAGTACATCTTTCATTTGTCAGTGTACATTTCAGTAGATTCCCTATTCTTCAAATGGTGCTACAATAATTAGTGAGCACACATATCTCTAGCCCATACTGGATTCACTTCCTTTGAGTATCTATTCAGGATTTGGTGGTAGGAACCACAATTGAGAGAACACCTGTGTGTCAGTACAGTCATTTCTAACTCCATCCATTGACCTACAAATTACTTGATTTCCTTTTCCTTTACCACAAAGTAGAACTCCAGTGAAAATGTAGCAAATGTACAAGATCCACTAATAGACTGAGGGACATTTAGGTTGTGCAACTGAATTTCAAAATAATACAATAGAAAGTTTTTTCTTGAATTCTAGTTTATTATGTACTTAACTGAGACATTAAATGTATCTCTTCTGATGACTTGGGAGGATATTGATTGAAATTAAGACTCTCAAATTCTTGAAATTTCATGGCCAGTACTGAAGTAGCAATCACTTTATAAAAATTGGACTAATCAGCCAGTTTTCAGTCTCGAAACTACATTGTGACATTACTTCCAGTATATATATTTTAATAGGAAAATTCATGAAGTGGTAATTTAATAGTCAACTTCAAAAATGTATGTAGAGAACAAAATATCACACTGTACCTCCTAAATACATACAGTTCTTCTTTATCAAAAATTAATGTTAAGGGGCTGGAAAGATGGCTCAAAGGTTAAGAGCACAGGCTGTTCTTGCAATAGACCCTGGTTTGATTCCCACCACCCACATGGCAGCTAACAACTCTCTGTAATTCCAGTTCCAGAGGATCCAATGCCCTCTTCTGACCTCAGTGGGCACTGAAGACATGGGTGCACTCATATGAATGCATGAAATACACTCATACCCATAAAATAAAAATGATAATAAAACATTTCATAAAAATTAATATTGGGGCTGGAGAGATGGCTCAGTGTTTTAAGAACACTGGTTGTTCTTGCAGAAGACCAGGGTTTGATTCACACTACCTACACATGGCAGCTAACAACCATCTGTAATTCCAGTCCCAGGGGATCTGACAGCATCTTCTAACCTCTGAGGGCATTGCACAACATGGGTGCACTTACCTACATGCAGGCAATACATGTATGCACATGAAATTTTTCTTAAAAATTAATATTGAGAAATAGAATCAGATAATATTGGGGTTTTTTTGGTGTTTTGTTTATTTGTTTGTTTGTTTTTGTCTTTTTGAGACAGGGTCTCCTTGTAGGCCCAGGTGTCCTGGAATTCACTATGTAGACCAGGCTGGTATGGACGTCAGACTTCATGTCTTACAAATGTAATTTATAATTGATGATAATTTTTTTCCACACTAAAAGTGTGCAGCAGTGTGTCCCTCAGGACCACTGCCCCTTAAGTCTGTTTCAGGACATCACTATCACCCCCAAGGACCCTAGGTGTTCACGGCTTAATGCACAAGACATCAAGTGCTCTAGAACCTTTGTATGTCTGTGCTGGGTCATTCATGATTTGAGTGTTTAGAAAATGCCTGGATTTCTAAACAGAAGTGCACCCAATAGATAAAGAGAGAACAAAACAGGGAATTCTACCAATGTCTTTTCAATTGCAATATTCTGTCAGAACACTGATCCTTACAGAGTTCTCAGGTTGCATAACTAGTGTTCCACCTCTAATTACATACAGCTCAGACCAAATTTCAGGTTGGAAATGGAACTTTATGATTGGGTGATAATATATGCTATAAACTTTCTGAATCTATCATGGAACAAAAGTGAAAGAAGCATAACCCATTCAAAAAGACAAACATGAGAACAGACAAAGTTACATTACACTGTTCTTTTCTCTTCAGAGAATTTCACTTTATGAGATGTGGCACTCATTCACACAAAGTTAACATGCACACACATAGTAGTAGTTCCCCAAGGAAATCTGAGTATGAGCAAGAACTACTGTAAGAAAAATATTCTCACCAACAAAAACAAGACAGCTGTAATTCTCCAGCATCAGGTCTCTGTGCAAAGCCCTCTGACCAGGATCTAGGAATTCCCTCTCCTCCTGTTACAAGTCCACAGCCATGTCACTGAATGTCAACACACCCTGAAATGACTAATAGTTTGACCACATGTCCACAGGCCAATTGCTTTCCTTGAGTCAGGGAAACCAGCAAGATTAGGAGGCGTTCTCTGATGTAGGGCATGATCATATGTATTCTGAAGATGCTTTTTGAAATTGTAATATCTCTAACATGTTTTCTAACTGTGGAAATACCAGGGCATAGTATCCTAGTATTTTGTTTGGTTTTTTTTGGGGGGGGGGGGCGGGGGGGAGTTCTTCAGACAGAGTCTTTCTGTAGCCTCAGCTGGCCTGGAACACACCAAGTAGAGCTGGCTGGCCTTGAACTTACAGAGATCTACCTGCCTGTGGCTCCAGAGTGCTGGGATTACAGGCGTGTGTCCCCATCTCGGCTCATACCATGTTTTATGGATTATAGGATGGGAAATTCAGACCTTAACATAACAATACCCATTTTAATGCTGGGTTTATATAATAAATTATATATTTCAGATGGAACATTAATGGTGAAATGAAAGTTTATTTCTTAAGTGTTAATGCCTGCAACTATAACTGTGGATGTTTGCTAAAATATATGTTCTGATTCAATACAATCTAGAATAGTTCCTTGTGTTACTAATTCCAACAAGCTTTCCATGTCCCCATGTCCATAAGCCACTCACTTAGACACAGAAAAGTAAAACATGCCAGTCAGAATGCAGGAATGAATTTACACTGGAAGAGCTTTGTTTTTTCCACAACAGCACTGGGAGAAACAATCGATCTGAAGTAATTCCTGTACACCTGACATCACTCTGCCATATTTGCGCATTAATTCAAATAGTGTACCTGAATTTTTGATGAGACTATTTTGGAAACCATAAAATTGCTGATTCGTCTTAGTTCAGGATTCGTCTTAGTTCATACAGTCTTATATTTACCTTTAATAACCTAATTCTAAGAGGATGTGCAGGTCAACACACCCAAATATTTGCCACCAAGTTTCGAGACCTGCGATCTTTGCTGAAGAGTAAGCATACATAATATTTAACTTCCACGTGAGTTTCAGGGACCTGCCTTGGCTCCCAGCCCCCAACTCCAACAGCAGAGTGTCCTAGGCCACTCCGATCACATGACCAGAAGTCTTTCCTAAGGCCTCCGGTTCTGCCCACACTCTCCTCCGCCCTGAGGGTCCCTCCCTGACTCGCCCCTCATCCACTCTGCACCTACCGCTCTCCGTGGTTCCTGTGACTTCCGTGAAGTTTCGCATCCTGCCTAGACCCGGTCTCCCTAGGTCTCAGTGGAGTTTTCCAGGCCCCAAAGGCCCCAAGGTCCCGCTAGACTTCGGCCCCTCTTCACCTCTGCTCTGGTCCCGCCCACTCCGCCTCAGGTTCCTGTTGCCTCACACATCCGACCCTGCCCATGCCACACCCCTTCTCAAATCACTTTGAATTTTCTTCGCCTCCTTTCTTTCGGTGACTCCTCTGACCCAGGTGACTGTCCTTGACCCACTCAGACCCCGCCCCTCACACACACCTCTAGATCCCAACCAAGTGGCCCCAGCTTTCATTCTAGCCCTGAACTCTGTACACAACCTCTTTACAGAGTTGCTGTGGGCTTAGACCACACCTGGACCTAGTAAGACAGCCTTCACCCCTACCTAGGCCTCCCAGTCTGGTTCTGTCCTCTTGAGATGCCCCTCCCCCAAAGAAACGGATCCTGAAACCTCACTTTGGGAAGCCATCTTCCTGCACTAAAATATCTCAGGAAAAGAAAACAAACAGACTAAATACTGATGCCCAGAGCCCATTCCCAAAATAGTAAAAATATGATAAAGCAAGAAAATATGATGCCACCCCCCAGGAAAAGCACCATTCCAAAGTAATGTTCCCTAAGAGAGTAAATTGGTCTCTAAGATACTATTCTCAAAAAGAACACATAAATATGAACAAGGAGTTCAAAGCATCTTGCTGTGAAAATTACCCTGAGACTACCTGGACAGGTGACAAAAATCAAACCATGTTCAAGAAGAAGAGGATGTTTACCCTTGGCTACACCCTGGTTAACCTGTTCCAGAAATACTGAGGCACTGACCAGAAATACAGTTTTTTATGGGATTTCTCACATCAGTCATTGGCAGTAATCATCTGGTGGATTTCAGACTTCCAGCACCAAAGTATAGGTGCCCCTTAGGTTATTATATGAAACTTAAACAGTCAGCATTTCTACAAAAGCAGGTATTTTGGGCAAGCGTGGATGCTGGGATTTGAACTTATGTCTTCTGGAAGTACAGCCAGTGCTCTTAAACAGTGAGCCACCTCTCCAGCCCCAATTGTTTCTGTTTTTTGAAGGCCTTTTGAGTCTAATTCATATTCCCCAAATGATCTTGGGTGCAAGTCTGTCACTGACAGCCTTGCCAACTTTCATATCATTATCTGTCATGTAGAACTGCTTGGTATATTTTGAGTAAAGGTACAAAAAATTCCTACATAGTTTTATCTTTATAAAATGAATGTTCCACAAGATAAATACTGATATGAAATTAATTAAATGCCTTCAAATTATTTTACTAAAGTATGAATATTTGTGGCCAAATAACCTTAATTCTTTTGTTGAAAATTCATCCCTAACATCATGTCATCAGTATGTGTGGCTTTATGTGATATGAATAAGTCAGGAGGTTCCCCAAAAAGAATGTAGTTAGCCATTTTTAAGGGAATTAGAAAGCGTGTCCTGGCCATTTCAGCCATGTGCCAATGGAACAAATAAGTACCAGGAAATTCAAAAGACAGGGAATTTACTGCTGACTTTATCTAGTACTTTCCAGACTCTAGGCCTGAGAGCACAACCCAGTCTAGTGTTATATCAGACTCAACAGATACTTGTTTTCATTGCTCTTTTTCGGGAATTTTAGCTCCAGTGGTCTACCAGGTTTGATTTTATTTTTTCCATGTATCAACTTGTGCCACAGATAAGCCATCCTCATTTCTTTGGCTTATTTTGGCAAATCTCATCTGCGTATGCATTTCTAAAATTGGTTCAATACTCACAGAGCTCAAATTCCTCACATCTGTATAAAAAAGGTGAAATAAGTAAGTTACATCAATATTAAATACTCTAAAATTGATGGCATGCTTTCACTTTTGCAGAGGTTATATTTAATCATGTATGTATATATATGAACAGATATGTGTCACTAGCAAATATGGGGACAATGGTAGTATCTGGAGTAATGTGAAGCAAAGGAGTGTGATGGTGCAAATAGAGAGTACAGTAAAATATATACAGCATATATATTATATTATATATATATATGATATGTGCTGATCACAATATTTGGGTGCATATGAAGTAGGAGTTAAAATGGAAATTTTGCATGCCCTGCTTTTTACATAGAGAAGATGAAAACTAAATGCAGTGATATCAGAACTAGAATGGAAAATACTGATAGACATATGACTCTAGTAACTCTGTGCTCCTAGGTACTCACAGTGAAACTGAATATCTACGTACCTAGATGCATGTAAGACTTCAGTGCCAATAATATTGCATCTGAGAGAAAAATCTGCTCTTAGATGTGTGCCAGTTTCCACAACTGAGAAAATGCATTTGCCAATCCCTGAAATATTAATAAAGGGATAATAAGGACAGTTAAATTACTCATGTATTAATACGATCAAGATTTCCAAATTAAAATCTGAGTGGAACAATTCGTCAAACATATATGTCTGGGACTAGCTACTTTTTTTTTTTAACCTTTGTCATTTCTACTACAGAAATAACAGGATTCAGGCAGCCAATAGGATAAGCAGTGGAGTGAGATCTCCTGTCTCCTGTGGACATGTGTCCAAGGGGAAGAGCAAAATGGAGAGAGCTCCCTGTGACCCGTGGGTCCTACTATCTATAGCACATCAAATATAATTCAGAAGTGGTTTCTGTTCAGCTCATAGAACTGTAATTGTATTAGAACACAGCACAGGCTTGATCTTTTGAAGCCAGTCTCTTCTTTAAAAACCTATACATGTATTCTGCTGAGCTAACATCTAGTGTTGTGACCTTTTGAATGCTTCAAACAAGAATCTTGTCTTGTAATAGTTATAGAAAAATACAATATAAGTCTTCTAACTGGGCCTGTTCTGCACCACTGCCTAGGGATAACTCAGTTTCTCTGACAGAGTTTTATTTCTCTGAGCTTCAGGAAGTGAAGACAGTCTCAAAACACTATTTTAATTTGTATCACATGTACCCCTCATATGAATCTCTCTGTATTTCACCGAATAACTGTATATGATTGAGAAGAATTCAATTCCTATTTCTCCCACGTTATAAATACAGTCCTCACAGGTTAATACAATGGGTACTTAGGAAAGGCACTGTGACCCTGTGTTATATATTGGCAACTTTCTAATGATCTGACATTCTGACTTAATTTGATAGAACACTGAATCTGATTCAAGGTATGTCAGTGACATGGTCAGAGTGGTGAATTCATAAAACATGAATGGACACTCCAAAGCACTCAAGAGAAACTTCAATCATACATAGCTGAAAGCCTCATATAAATGCAGAGATGGTATGTATGATGGCATAATGCCCAAGGAGCTAAGGGTGAGAATACTGAGAGTGTCTTTTAAAGAATGTTTATATTAGTGTGTTCCCTATACAGTGGTTCACATTTTCAACTTCAATCCTAAGTACTGTTCCACTACACAAAGTCATTTAAAATCACAGATATTGTAAAAGAGCTACATAATTTTCTAATGAAAATATGTACTGTTTCTCACATGTGTAATACACAAGTAAACTACATAAGAACTGCATAGGGGGATTCAGAAACATTGAGATATGTGACATTTTAGGTACTGTGCACAATCGAAATAAGGGCCTCGAACTCTAGGCATCTAGCACTAAAATCAGAGCCTGAGGTATGGAACATTTGACATGGTTTTCCGTGGACAGCAGACAAAACAATTCATTTTTCATCATTTCCAATTATTTGTTGTCTAGTAAGACATGAATCTTTGGGTATGGGTACAAAAAGAGCTCCCAGAGTCTCATATGTTCAATATTTGTGCTGTGGACATCAGGATTCAGAAAAGGATTTATGGAAAGACTATTGGGTCATAAGGGATGCAACCATGACTTCTCGGCTGTTCCTCCATTCAACCATGATTGGAGGAAGAAGGCCAGTGATGTACATTAAAACACATAATTTGTTTCTGCCCTTGGAAAGACCTTCTTTATCTCTATCTCAATCTTGTTCCTCCCTCTCTGTCTCTTTCCTTCAGGGTGAGAACTCTCCCATCTGGCACACGGTTACCGCAACCTGGCATTTGTTTCTCCATAAGCCATATCAAATAGAAACAAATATATATATATATATATATATATATATATACATTTCAAAACTTTTGGAACAGTGAGAAAAAGAGCCTCTTCACTTTAATTCACATTTCAGGTATTTTGTCACAGCAGAGAAATTTCACTCACTCAAAACCTTTGTGAATTCATGTCTGTGATCATCTGTTTTATTACATGTTTTAGAAGGCACGTACACAGGCAAGCATGCATTTATGTTATCTGATTCCTAAACTTTATCCAGAGTTTCCCATGTTTGCACCTTTCTTTCAATGTAAAGGAAATCCAAATCCATGCGGTCAGTTGTCCCACAAAGTTGTGGTGGGCTAGATGCAAAAAAAAAAATAGTGACTGTTCTTAAATATATCAGTACTCATAAATTAGCATTACAATGACATTGCCAGTTAATTTTCATTATATTTATTGTAATGTTTCTAATATAACATACAATCTCTAATAAATAGATCATGCAAATCAGTTGATGATAAATCCCCAAGGAACAGATCTCTGGAAAAAAACAATCCACTGATTTACCCAAATAGTAAAGGATATCCTTGTATTAGCCTTCACTCATCATCAGCTGAAATAAGGTGTGAGAGTTTCTATTTGGAGAAGATAATATTTTTCATATGATTTCCATATTACATCACTAAACATACGCTTTACTTATTAAATCAAAATCAATTTATATGCAGTTTCAAAATTGTTTTAAAATGAATTTAATGCAGTCATATCAAAATGCAGATTGAAAGAACTAAAGAAACAGCTTTGTTTAAAGTAATAGGCAACTTGAATGTCATTACACACACTTTCCAAAAAGCAACACTAAAATTTTAATATATTGATGATAAACATGCAAATGTATTTATAACATTTTGCAAATTATCTTTCTCTTTTCTGTCTTCATTTACTTTTTTCACAAATTTCATTAACTCAAGAGAAACTTCAATCATACATAGCTGAAAGCAATTGCAAGAGTACCTACTAAAATATTTATTCACAATTCAATGA